AAGTGGTTAAGGCGTCTGACATTCTGCTACCACTAACCCTCCACCACTGGGCTGCGGTGGCCAAGTGGTTAAGCCATCTGACATTCTGCTACCACTAGCCCTCCCCCACTGGGCCACAGTTGCCAAGTGATTAAGGCGCCTGACATTCTGCTACCACTAGCCCTCCACCACTGGACTGCGTTTGCCAAGTGGTTAAGGCGTCTGACATTCTGCTACCACTAGCCCTCCACCCCTGGGCTGCGGTGGCCAAGTGGTTAAGGCTTCTGACATTCTGCTACCACTAGCCCTCCACCCCTGGGCTGCGGTGGCCAAGTGGTTAAGGCCTCTGACATTCTGCTACCACTAGCCCTCCACCTCTGGGCTGCGGTGGCCAAGTGGTTAAGGCTTCTGACATTCTGCTACCACTAGCCCTCCACCTCTGGACTGCGGTTGCCAAGTGGTTAAGGCGTCTGACATTCTGCTACCACTAACCCTCCACCACTGGGCTGCGGTGGCCAAGTGGTTCAGGCATCTGCCATTCTGCTACCACTAGCCCTCCACCACTGGACTGCGTTTGCCAAGTGGTTAAGGCGTCTGACATTCTGCTTACCTCTAGCCCTCGATCCACCTCTGGGCTGCGGTGGCCAAGTGGTTAAGGCAGCTGACATTCTGCTACCACTAGCCCTCCACCTCTGGGCTGCGGTGGCCAGGGGGTTAAGGCATCTGACATTCTGCTACCGCTAGCCCTCCACCACTGGGCTGCGGTGGCCCAGTGGTTAAGACGTCTGACATAATGCTACCACTAACCCTCCACCACTGGGCCACAGTTGCCAAGTGGTTAAGGCGTCTGACATTCTGCTTACCACTAGCCCTCGATCCACCTCTGGGCTGCGGTGGCCAAGTGGTTAAGGCATCTGACATTCTGCTTACCACTAGCCCTCGATCCACCCCTGGGCTGCGGTGGCCAAGAGGTTAAGGCATCTGACATTCTGCTACCACTAGCCCTCCACCACTGGGCCGCGATGGCCAAGTGGTTAAGGCGTCTGACATTCTGCTTACCACTAGCCCTCCAACACTGGGTCACTAGTTTGAGGCCTACGTGGGGCAGTCGCCAGGCACTGGCCATTGGTCGGTGTTTTTTCTCTTGGGAGTTTTGAAAAAATTGAGGTAGAATTAAAGATGAAATAAATAAAAAAATAAATTAAAAAAATAGAATTTTTTATCAACAATGTTAACACTGACAACTGAGTTTTCTGAGAAAACATGTGCAAGGGTACATGCCATTGGCCAGGATTCGAACCCAGGACTTTGGATCAGAATACGGTCGCTCTTACAAACTGAGTTATGCATACATATGCCTGACCAGCAGCGCTATATAGCAGTCGTCAGGCCCAGATTGACTACACTTGTATATATATATAAGACAAAGTTATATAAGGGAAAGTTGAGGTATGTTTGAAATACTACCGTTGAGTTTTCTAGTATTTTGCCTGCAGTCGGAGACGGGGATCCTTAAGTCTCAGGTACCGGTGTATGATGACGTCTCGTTAAACTTTGGACGTAAGGAGGCCTCACATTATTTGTATTTGTTTGCCACGTTTTAATTTTTGATACATTTAAACAATACACCTGGTACATGTCTATCAACAGGATATTGAATACCACCTCTGGAGGTACACTTCATTTAATGTAACAGAGTACCTACCTGTAATGTACATACATTGGATATATACCTGATCTTTTAATGAGGAAATATTACTGGATGACCAGACAGGTAATTAATAACATATATACATATATACCTGCAACGGACATTAGTTAATTGTCAAACAGCTGGTACACCAGGTGTATGCATAGATATACGGGATTTTTTTTTAGATATAACTTCAAACTAGCAGCGCGCTAGCTGCTTTCACTCTTCACAAGGCGCTTTAGGTTGATTTCAAAAGGACAACATGACATAACAATTACATGTGTCACACTACAATAGCTTAAGTAACGTGACCTCACAATATACACAAGATTGGTGGATAAACAAGAGCGGTTTTAATATTTTGAAGAAATAGTCTTCTTTCTCTTCTCTTAGAATAGCGTTGTATTTGATATAAAGGTAATGCATTGAATTTATCATCGGCACATTCATGAAGACGTTTATTAACATGTAAATTTGATAAAAGATTGGTTTTAGTTTGTTGTCTATGTACAGTCATGCATGTTCTGAGTTCAAGTTGCTAGTTTAATTTGACAGATATAAAAAAAATCACCACAATTAGAACAATTTATTAGAAAAACAAAAAATATAATAAAATTATAGAACACTGGCTTCATAACCAGTATGTATGTTTACATTATGATGAGATGGTAGATATTTGTATAGAAAAATGTAAGAGAGATGGAGAGAGTTGGCCCAAGTGAACTTATGCAGTGGTGCGGCAACCGTTGTCCGTACGTCTGTCCGTCCGGTGTCTGGCGTCTGGTGTCAATATTTTAATTTAAACAAATTCTTCTTGATAACCAAAAGGCCTAGGATGATGATAGTTGGCCAGAAGCAAATGGGATGAAGGGCTACTAAGTTTGTTCAAATAAATGACCTTCACCCATTTTCAAGGTCACAGGGGTCAAATATGTTAAAAACTTTAAACAACTTCTTCTGAATAACCAAAATGCCCAGGGAGATGATATTTGGCCAGTAGCATGCTGGAGTGAAGGGCTACCAATGCAAGTTTGTTCAAACGAATGACCTTCTCTCATACTCAAGGTCACAGGGGTTAATTGTCAAAATAAACCTTTAAAAAAATTCTTCTGAATAACCAAAATGTCCAGGATGTTGATAGTTGGTCAGTAGCAGACAAAGATGAAGGGCTACCAAGTTTGTTTAAATGAATGACCTTGACTTAAATTTAAGGTCACAGGGGTCAAATATATTTGAAACTTTTAAATGACTTCTGAATAACCAAAAGTCGCAGAATGATGATATTTGGCTCATAGCATGATGGGATGAAGGGTTACCAAGTTTGTTCAAGTGAATGACCTTGAGTCGCCCAGGTTCTTTTGAATGACTTAATCATAAATACTGATATTTTGCCTGTAGCTTTATTTTAGATCACTTTTAAGGTTGCAAGTGTGAGATTTATACCGGGTGAGCGGTGCAGGCCCATTGGCCCTCTTGTTTTCTTTGTTCTGGTTTTTCCTGTTTCTATTTTCTGAATACTTAACTAAGGCTCGTCCTGCATTACACACGTCCGTTGTCCAGGTAGCTTATTTGGCTTCAGTGATGGTATATCATATTACAATCTGAATTCCAGGGTTTGAACCCCCGATCTAGCCCCACAAAATATTTTACTCTCAGAACACCTTTGTTGATTATATTTTGTTTATTTCACCTCCATTATGTTTTCATAAATAAAAGTTCAGCAATGTTTACTTTTCTTTTCAAAAAAGATTTATGGTGAAACTGGAAAAATATTTTTCAAATGCACTTTTATTTTTTATGGCAGTGGTATGGGCATCCTTAATAGAACATAAAGCTTTTGGTTTGTGACCAGATATAAATAGACCAGGTGCTTGTCCTAATGTGCGTATACAGTGTACCTCACAACTACCTCTCATACCTGGTGAAGCTCATAGTGGGTGTATAGTGGATAGTTTGTGGAATTTACTGATAAGGAAGGTTTTTAAATATTTCCGGGCCATTTTGTAATTTGGTAAATAATAATATAGAGGTTAACTCTTCTATTGAATTTTAAATAAAAATAAAAAAAGTTTTAGTAAAATTGATGGTTCTTTATTATTTGAATGAACTCAGTATTTGTCTTGGTGGTTCTTTACACTTAATGTAAATGAAAACAAGCAGTATTGCTATTAATGGTTCCATATATACTTTGTGAATAAATACAGGATTGAAATGGATGTGTCTTTACTTTGATAATGAACAACACAGTATTATAATTGATGGTTCTTCACTTTGTCAGAAGAGAGTCAATATTAATATATTAACTCATTACCAAAGGACCGGTTATCGTGATGCAGTGTGCATTTAACGCTTCTAGTCCTTCGACACAGCTCGGTGGATTTTGGGGGCAAAGTGGTGCTTTTATGGTGTAACAGTTTTGTTACTTCAATATATACATAATATACATGTAGCATGATTATCTGTGCTATCCAGTAAAAAAGATCACTGAAGCAGTCAGGAAGACTTAATCCCTTCTAAACTTTATTTCATTCACCCCTGAAGACACATTTGAACTCTTTCAATTCAAAAGTTGGAATAGTTCATTATGAAATTTCAGGGGTGATTGAGTTAAAACATATATCTAATATATAAGTCTATTTGCACTATATCATCAGTATATGCTGAGCCTGCATGCTATCCATGAGCGTAGTCATGCTTTTAGATAAATCTCCAGAATCATTATTGCTGAGCTGACTGGCTGGTCGACAAGTAATGCAGTCCGACCTTCACTCCTCGGTGGATCGACCTCCATTTCTTGCTGTAATGGGTCGAGGTCAAGGTCTGCGGTCAAGGATTTTGATTTAGCTGCACTTGTGGCACTAGCCACTTGGTGATGTTTGTTTTTTACACTTTTTCAGTCTTTTTGGACACCTTTTCATTCGGTCTAGGCTCCATGTTCCCGGGAATTTCGCCTACAAAATAAATCGAATTATCTGATAATTTTCTGGGAATTAAAGATGGTGGCCATACAACCCGCCAAATGGATCACTGAAATGACCAGCCCCTCGGGGCAAAGTCTCGGGAATAATGCGCCTCTATGGGTATGCTCCCGGTCAAATTTACGAAAATCAACAGTTCGTGTTACACACGATCAAATAATCGCAAAATTAATCACTGGTACTTCTTAGTATAAGAATATAAAGAATACGTTCAGAGGAAACGAGATCCCTCTGAATTTTCTGTAATGAAGGCACTCTATGAATAATGAAGCTGCACACGCATCTTCCGTGGTTCCGGTACTAACTGAATGAAGACAGAATTAATATTGAATGTGGCTGGTGTTTTTCAGGTAACAGATGAAGAGATGTTAGGCTAGCGCTGCTGACCTTGATGTACTGGTATACCTTGTCAGGAACCCCCTCTGTCTGAGGTGATAGAGGTGAGTGTACTGGTACCTTGTCAGGAACCCCCTCTGTCTGTGGTGATAGAGGTTAGTGTACTGGTACCTTGTCAGGAACCCCATCTGTCTGAGGTGATGGAGGTGAGTGTACTGGTACCTTATCAGGACCCCCCCTCTGTCTGTGGTGATGGAGGTGAGTGTACTGGTACCTTGTCAGGAACCCCCCGCTGTCTGAGGTGATGGAGGTTAGTGTACTCGTACCTTGTCAGGAACCCTATCTGTCTGATGTGATCGAGGTTAGTGTACTGGTACCTTGTCGGGAACCCCCGCAATCTGAGGTGATGGAGGTGAGTGTACTGGTCCCTTGTCAGGAACCCCCTCTGTCTGAGGTGACCCTCTGTCTGTGGTGATGGAGGTGAGTGTACTGGTACCTTGTCCGGAACCCCCTCTGTCTGAGGTGATGGAGGAGAGTGTACTGGGACCTTGTCAGGAACCCCCTCTGTCTGAGGTGATAGAGGTTAGTGTACTGGTACCTTGTCAGGAACCCCATCTGTCGGAGGTGATGGAGGTGAGTGTACTGGTACCTTGTCAGAAACCCCCTCTTTCTGAGGTGATGGAGGTGAGTGTACTGGTTCCTTATCAGGACCCCCCCTCTGTCTGTGGTGATGGAGGTGAGTGTACGGGTTCCTTGTCAGGAACCCCCCTCTGTCTGAGGGGATGGAGGTGGGTGGACTGGTACCTTGTCCGGAACCCCCTCTGTCTGAGGTGATGGAGGTGAGTGTACCGGTACCTTGTCAGGAACCCCCTCTGTCTGTGGTGATAGAGGTTAGTGTACTGGGACCTTGTCAGGAACCCCCCGCTGTCTGAGGTGATGGAGGGGAGTGTACTGGTACCTTGTCAGGAACCTCCTCTGTCTGAGGTGATGGAGGTGAGTGTTCTGGTACCTTATCAGGACCCCCCCTCTGCCTGTGGTGATGGAGGAGAGTGTACTGGTACCTTGTCAGGAACCACCTCTGTCTGAGGTGATGGAGGTTAGTGTACTGGTTCCTTATCAGGACCCCCCCTCTGTCTGTGGTGATGGAGGTGAGTGTACGGGTTCCTTGTCAGGAACCCCCCTCTGTCTGAGGTGGTGGAGGTGAGTGTACTGGTACCTTGTCCGGAACCCCCTCTGTCTGAGGTGATGGAGGACAGTGTACTGGGACCTTGTCAGGAACCCCCTCTGTCTGAGGTGATAGAGGTTAGTGTACTGGTACCTTGACAGGAACCCCCTCTGTCTGAGGTGATGGAGGCGAGTGTACTGGTACCTTGTCAGGAACCCCCCTCTGTCTGAGGTGATGGAGGTTAGTGTACTGGTACCTTGTCGGGAACCCCCGCCATCTGAGGTGATGGAGGTGAGTGTACTGGTACCTTGTCAGGAACCCCCTCTGTCTGAGGTGATGGAGGTGAGTGTACTGGTACCTTGTCAGAAACCCCCTCTTTCTGAGGTGATGGAGGTGAGTGTACTGGTACCTTGTCAGGAACCCCCGCCATCTGAGGTGATGGAGGTGAGTGTACTGGTACCTTGTCAGAACCCCCCTCTTTCTGAGGTGATGGAGGTGAGTGTACTGGTACTTTGTCAGAAACCCCCTCTTTCTGAGGTGATGGAGGTGAGTGTACTGGTACCTTGTCCGGAACCCCCTCTGTCTGAGGTGATGGAGGTGAGTGTACAGGTCCCTTGTCAGGAACCCCCTCTGTCTGAGGTGATAGAGGTGAGTGACCTTGATGTACTGGTAGACCTTGTCAGGAACCCCCTCTGTCTGAGGTGATTGAGGTGAGTGTACTGGTACCTTGTCAGGAACCCCCTCTGTCTGAGGTGATGGAGTTGAGTGTACTGGTACCTTGTCAGGAACCCCCCTCTGTCTGAGGTGATGGAGGTGAGTGTATTGGTACCTTCTCAGGAACCCCCTCTGTCTGAGGTGATGGAGGGGAGTGTACTGGTACCTTGTCAGGAACCCCCTCTGTCTGAGGTGATAGAGGTGAGTGACCTTGATGTACTGGTAGACCTTGTCAGGAACCCCCTCTGTCTGAGGTGATAGAGGTGAGTGACCTTGATGTACTGGTAGACCTTGTCAGGAACCCCCTCTGTCTGAGGTGATAGAGGTGAGTGACCTTGATGTACTGGTAGACCTTGTCAGGAACCCCCTCTGTCTGAGGTGATGGAGGTTAGTGTACTGGTACCTTATCAGGGACCCCCTCTGGCTGAGGTGATGGAGGTGAGTGTACAGGTACCTTGTCAGGAACCCCCTCTGTCTTAGGTGATAGAGGTGAGTGTACTGGTACCTAGCAGGAACCCCCTCTGTCTGAGGGGATGAAGGGGAGTGTACTGGTACCTTGTTAGTAACCCCCTCTGTCTGAGGGGATGGAGGTGAGTGTACTGGTACCTTGTCAGGAACCCCCTCTGTCTGAGGTGATGGAGGGGAGTGTACTGGTACCTTGTCAAGAACCCCCTCTGTCTGAGGTGATAGAGGTGAGTGTACTGGTACCTAGCAGGAACCCCCTCTGTCTGAGGTGATGAAGGTGAGTGTACTGGTACCTTGTTAGTAACCCCCTCTGTCTGAGGTGATGGAGGTGAGTGTACTGGTACCTTGTCAGGAACCCCCGCTGTCTGAGGTGATGGAGGTTAGTGTACTCGTACCTTGTCAGGAACCCCATCTGTCTGATGTGATGGAGGTGAGTGTACTGGTACCTTGTCAGGAACTCCCTCTGTCTTAAGTGATAGAGGTGAGTGTACTGGTACCTTGTCAGGAACCTCCTCTGTCTGAGGTGATGGAGGTGAGTGTACTGGTACCTTGTCAGGAACCTCCTCTGTCTGAGGTGATGGAGGTGAGTGTACTGGTACCTTGTCAGGACCCTCCTCTGTCTGAGGTGATGGAGGTGAGTGTACAGGTACCTTGTCAGGAACCCCCTCTGTCTGAGGTGATAGAGGTGAGTGTACTGGTACCTTGTCAGGAACTCCCTCTGTCTTAAGTTATAGAGGTGAGTGTACTGGTACCTTGTCAGGAACCCCCTCTGTCTGAGGTGATGGAGGTTAGTGTACTGGTACCTTATCAGGAACCCCTTCTGTCTGAGATGATGGAGGTGATTCTTGTTGTTATTGGAAGAGAATCAACAGTTTTGGCTGGTAGATTTATCTACAGATCGTGCAAATGAATTATTTAATAATAAATACCATCCAAACCGTGGAGTCACACAAGGGATGACCTACCTTAACCCTTTCACCCCTTGGTAACTTTAGTAGACTCTACCATGCATTTATTGGGATGAGTCCATTATGGTCTACAGTGGTGAAAGGGTTAATCAGGAATCTCACTTCAGTAAAAGCACTTCAGTTCTATAAGAAAATCAACAAACTCGGGATTATTGTAGTCCAAGTCGGCAGAGCTTCATATGGGATAAAGTATGAGATAAATTGTTTTTGTTTGTAGATGACGATGGAGCAGACGTAGCCAGGTGTTACCATGGCGGTGACACTATGGCGGATGTGTGGCCGTATTCCAAATAGTCGACAACTGCTTTTATTGGCATGCCTACTCTTCTTCTTCTGGTGTGTCACACTCTATCGCATGTCCACCACCTCGGGGGGAACTGAGAAGGAGAGCGAAATCTTAAAGGTAAGGTCAAGGTCAGGAAAGGTCAATGCCATTATTGGTCAATTTCAAAATTCAGGTTATTTTTGGGTCATTGAGCATCAATCTTGGGGTCATATACTCTGGTAGTAAAGGTCAAACTTACATAGAGTCAGTTACAGGATTCCTGATCAAAGTTTCTGAATTTTGACCTTAATAATTCTGAACAAATTTCTGATCGAATCTGATAACTTAATGTGTCATGTCAATACAATTAATGTAAGGGATAAAGCTTAAAAATTAATAAAGCTATTCCAGGACATATGTTACAGGGTGGGCGTCTCCCCAGTCACCTCTGGTAAGCCTGTTGTCGGAATATTGTGACAGGGTGGATGTCTCCCCAGTCACCTCTGGTTAGCCTGTTGTCGGAATAATGTGACAGGGTGGATGTTTCCCCAGTCACCTCTGGTAAGCTTGTTGTCGGAATAATGTGACAGGTTGGGTGTCTCCTTAGTCACCTCTGGTTAGTCTGTTATCAGAATAATGTGACAGGGTGGGTGTCTCCTTAGTGACCTCTGGTTAGTGTGTTATCAGAATAATGTGACAGGGTGGGTGTCTCCTTAGTCACCTCTGGTTAGTCTGTTATCAGAATAATGTGACAGGGTGGGTGTCTCCTTAGTTACCTCTGGTTAGTCTGTTATCAGAATAATGTGACAGGGTGGGTGTCTCCTTAGTCACCTCTGGTTAGTCTGTTATCAGAATAATGTGACAGGGTGGGTGTCTCCTTAGTCACCTCTGGTTAGTCTGTTATCAGAATAATGTGACAGGGTGGGTGTCTCCTTAGTCACCTCTGGTTAGTCTGTTATCAGAATAATGTGACAGGGTGGGTGTCTCCTTAGTCACCTCTGGTTAGTCTGTTATCAGAATAATGTGACAGGGTGGGTGTCTCCTTAGTCACCTCTGGTTAGTCTGTTATCAGAATAATGTGACAGGGTGGGTGTCTCCTTAGTCACCTCTGGTTAGTCTGTTATCAGAATAATGTGACAGGGTGGGTGTCTCCTTAGTCACCTCTGGTTAGTCTGTTATCAGAATAATGTGACAGGGTGGGTGTCTCCTTAGTCACCTCTGGTTAGTCTGTTATCAGAATAATGTGACAGGGTGGGTGTCTCCCTAGTCACCTCTGGTTAGTCTGTTATCAGAATAATGTGACAGGGTGGGTGTCTCCCTAGTCACCTCTGGTTAGTCTGTTATCAGAATAATGTGACAGGGTGGGTGTCTCCCTAGTCACCTCTGGTTAGTCTGTTATCAGAATAATGTGACAGGGTGGGTGTCTCCTTAGTTACCTCTGGTTAGTCTGTTATCAGAATAATGTGACAGGGTGGGTGTCTCCCTAGTCACCTCTGGTTAGTCTGTTATCAGAATAATGTGACAGGGTGGGTGTCTCCCTAGTCACCTCTGGTTAGTCTGTTATCAGAATAATGTGACAGGGTGGGTGTCTCCCTAGTCACCTCTGGTTAGTCTGTTATCAGAATAATGTGACAGGGTGGGTGTCTCCCTAGTCACCTCTGGTTAGTCTGTTATCAGAATAATGTGACAGGGTGGGTGTCTCCCTAGTCACCTCTGGTTAGTCTGTTATCAGAATAATGTGACAGGGTGGGTGTCTCCCTAGTCACCTCTGGTTAGTCTGTTATCAGAATAATGTGACAGGGTGGGTGTCTCCCTAGTCACCTCTGGTTAGTCTGTTATCAGAATAATGTGACAGGGTGGGTGTCTCCCTAGTCACCTCTGGTTAGTCTGTTATCAGAATAATGTGACAGGGTGGGTGTCTCCCTAGTCACCTCTGGTTAGTCTGTTATCAGAATAATGTGACAGGGTGGGTGTCTCCTTAGTCACCTCTGGTTAGTCTGTTATCAGAATAATGTGACAGGGTGGGTGTCTCCCTAGTTACCTCTGGTTAGTCTGTTATCAGAATAATGTGACAGGGTGGGTGTCTCCCTAGTCACCTCTGGTTAGTGTGTTATCAGAATAATGTGACAGGGTGGGTGTCTCCCTAGTCACCTCTGGTTAGTCTGTTATCAGAATAATGTGACAGGGTGGGTGTCTCCCTAGTCACCTCTGGTAAGTCTGTTATCAGAATAATGTGACAGGGTGGCTGTCTCCCTAGTCACCTCTGGTGAGTCTGTTGTCAGAATAATGTGACAGGGTGGGTGTCTCCCCAGTCACCTCTGGTTAGTGTGTTATCAGAGTATCAGGACAGGGTGGGTGTCTCCCTAGTCACCTCTGGTTAGTGTGTTATCAGAATAATGTGACAGGGTGGGTGTCTCCCTAGTCACCTCTGGTTAGCCTGTTATCACAATAATGTGACAGGGTGGGCAGTCCTACCGTCCGTCATCCGTCCTTAAACAATTCTTGTTATCGGTATTCCTCAAGAAGTGCCAGAGGGATCTTTCTGATTTCTTGACTGATCGGATCAACAACATGGCCGACAGGCAGCCATCTTGGATTTTTATAGTTAAAGTTTGTTATCACTATTTCATGGGAAGTACCAGGGGGAACTTTCTCAAATTTTATATGTAGGATCCCCTTGGTCCCTAGCTGTGCAGGGCATCTTTTGAGACTGATCTGATAAACAACATGGCCGACAGGCAGCCATCTTGAATTTTGATAGTGAAAGTTTGTTATCGCTATTTCTCGGAAGTACCAAAGGGATCTTTCTCAAATTAAATATGTAGGTTCCCCTTGGTCCCTAGCTGTGCAGTGCAACTTTTGAGACTGATCTGATAAATAACATGGCCTACAGGCAGCCATCTTGTATTTTGATTGTGAAAGTTTGTTATCGCTATTTCTTGGAAAGTACGGGAGGGATCTTTCTCAAATTTTATATGTAGGTTCCCCTTGTTCCCTTGTTGTGTAGGAGTGCCTGAAATGGATGGTCTTCTGCTCTCCAATGGCGATTAAAATCTTGCTCTGGCGACCAAAAGTTGTCAAAAGTGTGGTGGCCCAAAAAAAATAATTTGGGCGACTGTTGAAAAATTACTGAATAAAAGAAATTATAGTCCCTTCCACATTAACTGGCCATGGGGGGGGCAGTACATTTTTCAGTTGTCATGATTTAATTTGAGTCGAACTGTTCGTGATTTAGAAAATGTGATGATTTTTTTTTTCAGATTTTCTATATAAATACTGCCAGGGTATCTTCTTTAAGGTGCGAGTTTTGTATATTTCTTTGGGAATCATGTCGGGTTTTAACTAGGGTTGAAGAATTCATTTTTTTTATGTTTTATTCTGTTTTACATATTACAAACATTGTCATATTATATGTAATTTAAATGTGCTGAAGCATTATGTTAAATTTAGGTGTGGATAAATTTCTTCCCAAAATTATTTTGGCCACCAATATTTTACTCGCCCCCAAACAAAATTTTTGGCCAGCCAATGCAGGTTCCCAACTATCCTTTATTGTTCATGTTTACTTTTGAAACTGATCAGTTAAACAAAATGGCCTACCGACAGCCATCTTCGATTTTTTACCTTGAAGGTTTGTTAGTACTATTTCTCAGGAATAACTTCAAACTTTCTCAAATTTGATATGTATAGGTTCCCCTTGATCCTTCGTTGTGCATGTTAGATTTTGAGACTGATCATAAATACAAAATGGCTAAAGGAAGAAATAAACAGATCTTTCTCATATTGCAATGATCGATTCTATTTCTTTCACATTAAGTACTGTAATAGTAAATATGTGAAATGACAAACTCACTTTAAAAGTTGGCTTTCATACACATCAGTATTAAGTTTAGATCAAAAGTTACCTCAAGGTGCATTTACTGTTAACATGACTCGATCAAACAGATTAGAGGAAAGAAGGGAAAAGATCGAACTGACAAAGAACTAATGAAGATGGTACAGTGGTGGGCGACACCCCTGGGAGCTCTTGTTACACAATATTATTTCTATGGACAGGTATTACTTTTGTGAAGAGAATTATTCTGATAAGAGATACTGGTTTTGATTTATCAATACTTAAATCTTTTTCTTCTATTTCCAGAATGAAATTATCCAGTTGAGCGAAAATTATGTGCGAGCACTCGCCCGGGAGAATTCTGATATCGTGGACGGCCCCTATGCTGGGCGTTTCACAGCTTATGGTAATATTTACAAAATGAAAACTGTCAGGTAATGTAATTTCAGGTTCAAAGTCACATAAATTATTGGATAAAGATATTTCGTTGTTTATTTGTGAGTGGACATGATCTCAATTTTGTTGTTGTGAATATTAAGTTATTGACTTAGAGTTGTTATCCTTCCATTGTTGAATAAAAATTCAGGAGGATGAATTGTTTAAAAAATGGTCATCATTAAACGTTTCATCAAGTGCTGACCAACCCGGTGCACAGTATTCACCTGCCAATTCCAACATTCAGATGTATCGAGATTTATTATAATAGCGACCAAGTAAAATCTGTACTCCGACACATTTTCTAGTTCAACCAATTTGTTTTATCCCACAGGGTGTCAGATTGGACAGGTTTTGCTGAACAACAGATTGACTGTAGTTGTTTAGTGTTAAATTTCATGTTGAAACACCTGAACAAGCATTCAGGAATATTAACTCATTTACCCCTGAAGACACATTTGAACTCTTCCAATTCAAAGGTTGGCAGGGTTCATTTTGAAATTTCAGGGGTGGATGAGTTAAATGAAGATTTCAGATCAGCTACACAAATTGATGAGAACGACATAATCCTAGAGTCTGACATGTTTTTAATTTTGTTCTCAATAGATTTGAAGAAAACGATGGCAGTGCTGTTGGAGAGCATGCTGGAGCGACTCAATAAGTTAGAGATTAAAATTAACAATGCTATCAACGGGACCAACGGAACCAATTCAAATGTTACGAACGGTCAATCAATGCGCTCCAACTATCAGTTACGGGCCGAAGGTAGGTACTCACAACAGTTAGTAGTACACAAACCAGCATTAGAGGAAATCTTAAGATGGAAGTTATAGATAGGTGGTCTTTATAGACAGTTTGTTGTACACAAACCAGCATTAGAGGAAATCTTAAGATGGAAGTTATAGATAGGTGGTCTTTATAGACAGTTTGTTGTACACAAACCAGCATTAGAGGAAATCTTAAGATGGAAGTTATAGATAGGTGGTCTTTATAGACAGTTTGTTGTACACAAACCAGCATTAGAGGAAATCTTAAGATGGAAGTTATAGATAGGTGGTCTTTATAGACAGTTTGTTGTACACAAACCAGCATTAGAGGAAATCTTAAGATGGAAGTTATAGATAGGTGGTCTTTATAGACAGTTTGTTGTACACAAACCAGCATTAGAGGAAATCTTAAGATGGAAGTTATAGATAGGTGGTCTTTATAGACAGTTTGTTGTACACAAACCAGCATTAGAGGAAATCTTAAGATGGAAGTTATAGATAGGTGGTCTTTATAGACAGTTTGTTGTACACAAACCAGCATTAGAGGAAATCTTAAGATGGAAGTTATAGATAGGTGGTCTTTATAGACAGTTTGTTGTACACAAACCAGCATTAGAGGAAATCTTAAGATGGAAGTTATAGATAGGTGGTCTTTATAGACAGTTTGTTGTACACAAACCAGCATTAGAGGAAATCTTAAGATGGAAGTTATAGATAGGTGGTCTTTATAGACAGTTTGTTGTACACAAACCAGCATTAGAGGAAATCTTAAGATGGAAGTTATAGATAGGTGGTCTTTATAGACAGTTTGTTGTACACAAACCAGCATTAGAGGAAATCTTAAGATGGAAGTTATAGATAGGTGGTCTTTATAGACAGTTTGTTGTACACAAACCAGCATTAGAGGAAATCTTAAGATGGAAGTTATAGATAGGTGGTCTTTATAGACAGTTTGTTGTACACAAACCAGCATTAGAGGAAATCTTAAGATGGAAGTTATAGATAGGTGGTCTTTATAGACAGTTTGTTGTACACAAACCAGCATTAGAGGAAATCTTAAGATGGAAGTTATAGATAGGTGGTCTTTATAGACAGTTTGTTGTACACAAACCAGCATTAGAGGAAATCTTAAGATGGAAGTTATAGATAGGTGGTCTTTATAGACAGTTTGTTGTACACAAACCAGCATTAGAGGAAATCTTAAGATGGAAGTTATAGATAGGTGGTCTTTATAGACAGTTTGTTGTACACAAACCAGCATTAGAGGAAATCTTAAGATGGAAGTTATAGATAGGTGGTCTTTATAGACAGTTTGTTGTACACAAACCAGCATTAGAGGAAATCTTAAGATGGAAGTTATAGATAGGTGGTCTTTATAGACAGTTTGTTGTACACAAACCAGCATTAGAGGAAATCTTAAGATGGAAGTTATAGATAGGTGGTCTTTATAGACAGTTTGTTGTACACAAACCAGCATTAGAGGAAATCTTAAGATGGAAGTTATAGATAGGTGGTCTTTATAGACAGTTTGTTGTACACAAACCAGCATTAGAGGAAATCTTAAGATGGAAGTTATAGATAGGTGGTCTTTATAGACAGTTTGTTGTACACAAACCAGCATTAGAGGAAATCTTAAGATGGAAGTTATAGATAGGTGGTCTTTATAGACAGTTTGTTGTACACAAACCAGCATTAGAGGAAATCTTAAGATGGAAGTTATAGATAGGTGGTCTTTATAGACAGTTTGTTGTACACAAACCAGCATTAGAGGAAATCTTAAGATGGAAGTTATAGATAGGTGGTCTTTATAGACAGTTTGTTGTACACAAACCAGCATTAGAGGAAATCTTAAGATGGAAGTTATAGATAGGTGGTCTTTATAGACAGTTTGTTGTACACAAACCAGCATTAGAGGAAATCTTAAGATGGAAGTTATAGATAGGTGGTCTTTATAGACAGTTTGTTGTACACAAACCAGCATTAGAGGAAATCTTAAGATGGAAGTTATAGATAGGTGGTCTTTATAGACAGTTTGTTGTACACAAACCAGCATTAGAGGAAATCTTAAGATGGAAGTTATAGATAGGTGGTCTTTATAGACAGTTTGTTGTACACAAACCAGCATTAGAGGAAATCTTAAGATGGAAGTTATAGATAGGTGGTCTTTATAGACAGTTTGTTGTACACAAACCAGCATTAGAGGAAATCTTAAGATGGAAGTTATAGATAGGTGGTCTTTATAGACAGTTTGTTGTACACAAACCAGCATTAGAGGAAATCTTAAGATGGAAGTTATAGATAGGTGGTCTTTATAGACAGTTTGTTGTACACAAACCAGCATTAGAGGAAATCTTAAGATGGAAGTTATAGATAGGTGGTCTTTATAGACAGTTTGTTGTACACAAACCAGCATTAGAGGAAATCTTAAGATGGAAGTTATAGATAGGTGGTCTTTATAGACAGTTTGTTGTACACAAACCAGCATTAGAGGAAATCTTAAGATGGAAGTTATAGATAGGTGGTCTTTATAGACAGTTTGTTGTACACAAACCAGCATTAGAGGAAATCTTAAGATGGAAGTTATAGATAGGTGGTCTTTATAGACAGTTTGTTGTACACAAACCAGCATTAGAGGAAATCTTAAGATGGAAGTTATAGATAGGTGGTCTTTATAGACAGTTTGTTGTACACAAACCAGCATTAGAGGAAATCTTAAGATGGAAGTTATAGATAGGTGGTCTTTATAGACAGTTTGTTGTACACAAACCAGCATTAGAGGAAATCTTAAGATGGAAGTTATAGATAGGTGGTCTTTATAGACAGTTTGTTGTACACAAACCAGCATTAGAGGAAATCTTAAGATGGAAGTTATAGATAGGTGGTCTTTATAGACAGTTTGTTGTACACAAACCAGCATTAGAGGAAATCTTAAGATGGAAGTTATAGATAGGTGGTCTTTATAGACAGTTTGTTGTACACAAACCAGCATTAGAGGAAATCTTAAGATGGAAGTTATAGATAGGTGGTCTTTATAGACAGTTTGTTGTACACAAACCAGCATTAGAGGAAATCTTAAGATGGAAGTTATAGATAGGTGGTCTTTATAGACAGTTTGTTGTACACAAACCAGCATTAGAGGAAATCTTAAGATGGAAGTTATAGATAGGTGGTCTTTATAGACAGTTTGTTGTACACAAACCAGCATTAGAGGAAATCTTAAGATGGAAGTTATAGATAGGTGGTCTTTATAGACAGTTTGTTGTACACAAACCAGCATTAGAGGAAATCTTAAGATGGAAGTTATAGATAGGTGGTCTTTATAGACAGTTTGTTGTACACAAACCAGCATTAGAGGAAATCTTAAGATGGAAGTTATAGATAGGTGGTCTTTATAGACAGTTTGTTGTACACAAACCAGCATTAGAGGAAATCTTAAGATGGAAGTTATAGATAGGTGGTCTTTATAGACAGTTTGTTGTACACAAACCAGCATTAGAGGAAATCTTAAGATGGAAGTTATAGATAGGTGGTCTTTATAGACAGTTTGTTGTACACAAACCAGCATTAGAGGAAGTCTTAAATGTAAGTTATAGATAGGTGGTCTTTATAGATAGTTTGTTGTACACAAACCAGCATTAGAGGAAGTCTTAAATGTAAGTTATAGATAGGTGGTCTTTATAGATAGTTTGTTGTACACAAACCAGCATTAGAGGAAGTCTTAAATGTAAGTTATAGATAGGTGGTCTTTATAGATAGTTTGTTGTACACAAACCAGCATTAGAGGAAGTCTTAAATGTAAGTTATAGATAGGTGGTCTTTATAGATAGTTTGTTGTACACAAACCAGCATTAGAGGAAGTCTTAAATGTAAGTTATAGATAGGTGGTCTTTATAGATAGTTTGTTGTACACAAACCAGCATTAGAGGAAGTCTTAAATGTAAGTTATAGATAGGTGGTCTTTATAGATAGTTTGTTGTACACAAACCAGCATTAGAGGAAGTCTTAAATGTAAGTTATAGATAGGTGGTCTTTATAGATAGTTTGTTGTACACAAACCAGCATTAGAGGAAGTCTTAAATGTAAGTTATAGATAGGTGGTCTTTATAGATAGTTTGTTGTACACAAACCAGCATTAGAGGAAGTCTTAAATGTAAGTTATAGATAGGTGGTCTTTATAGATAGTTTGTTGTACACAAACCAGCATTAGAGGAAGTCTTAAATGTAAGTTATAGATAGGTGGTCTTTATAGATAGTTTGTTGAACACAAACCAGCATTAGAGGAAGTCTTAAATGAAAGTTATAGATAGGTGGTCTTTATAGATAGTTTGTTGTATACAAAACAGCATTAGAGGAAATCTTAAGATGGACGTTATAGATAGGTGGTCTTTATAGACAGTTTGTTGTACACAAACCAGCATTAGAGGAAATCTTAAGATGGAAGTTATAGATGGGTGGTCTTTATAGATAGGTGGTCTTTATAGATAGGTGGTCTTTATAGATAGTTTGTTGTACACAAACCAGCATTAGAGGAAATCTAGGATGGAAGTTATAGATAGGTAGTCTTTATAGACAGTTTGTTGTATACAAGCCAGCATTAGAGGAAATCTAAGATGGAAGTTATAGATAGGTGGTCTTTTTAGACAGTTTGTTGTACACAAACCAGCATTAGAGGAAGTCTTAAATGTAAGTTATAGATAGGTGGTCTTTATAGATAGTTTGTTGAACACAAACCAGCATTAGAGGAAGTCTTAAATGAAAGTTATAGATAGGTGGTCTTTATAGATAGTTTGTTGTATACAAAACAGCATTAGAGGAAATCTTAAGATGGACGTTATAGATAGGTGGTCTTTATAGATAGGTGGACGTTATAGATAGGTGGTCTTTATAGATAGGTGGTCTTTATAGATAGGTGGTCTTTATAGATAGGTGGTCTTTATAGATAGGTGGTCTTTATAGACACCCTTTAAACACCTTTTTTGACATCTTGATCGATTTATT